GAATAAATAGAAAATGCAAAATTATAGCCTTACACTTTGAATTCGCGCATTCCTTGAATGCTTCAGCTTAAAAATAAGTCGGTTAAAAAGGAAGTCACGTGGTAACTAGCTCTATATGAATCTATTAAAGGGCCATCAATTTCATTCCGTAGTTAAGAGTTGTTGTTTTTTTTTTATATATATATATACACAAGTCTTATCCTATGCAAAATTAGCTAATCGGGCAAGATACATTTGTACTTTACCAAGCACGAAGTGGTTATTTTCATTCTAATCAAAAGCATAAGTACTAAGGTTGAGTCAAAATATTGTTTTACTTTGAAGACTTCACCACTCACAAATTATCAAACAGTTACAAACTAAATGGGAAGAGTGATGAATTTAGTTCTGAGCCCTGTGTTATATTTATACATCAATTTTAGTTTTTCTCTATTCTTTCTTCTTGCCCCCCCCCCCCACAATGGGTCGGCGGTAGGTTTCCGGATTTGCATTGTTAAAATATAGAGTTCGATTCCACGCAGCGGACAGAGCGCAGATAGCCCATTGCGCAGCTTTGCGGTAAACAATAACAATTTCGCTGCCAGTATACCACGATCAATCTATTGTCTGTAAACTGAATACAGCCCCCCAGTGGCACAGCGGTATGTCTGCGGACTTACAACGCTAGAATCCGGATTTCGATACCCGTGGTGGGCAGAGCACAGATAGCCCATTGTGTAGCTTTGTGCTTAATTACAAACAAACTGAATACGTATTATTCAATCGCGTGGTCGTGTGTTTCTTGACTTGTCTATGACCCTCGGTGGGACGGCGGTAATTTTTGGTACTTACAACGCTTAAATCCGGGGTTCAATTCCCCGCGATGGACACAAAAGATAGCCAAATGTGGCTCTGCTTTAAAACAAACAGACAGACTTGTCTAGTTTGAAGTTTGTTTTCGGCTTTTACTGACAATGCATTCAGCTAAGTATCTTACACTTCACAGTTAGAGGACATGTTTATTATTAGACATTTGAACTTATGCCAGACGAATGAGGACACTATATAAAAGAATAATATTTTCTATAGTGACAACCAGGTTTTGTTGCTGGGTTACATTACATTGTTTGTTTTGAATTTCGCACAAAGCTACACGAGGGCTATCTGCGCTAGCCGTCCCTAATTTAGCAGTGTAAGACTAGAGGAAAGGCAGCTAGTCATCACTACCCACCGCCAACTCTTGGGCTACTCTTTTACCAACGAATAGTGGGATTGACCGTCACATTATAACGCCCCCACGGCTGAAAGGGCGAGCATGTTTGGTGTGACGGGGATTCGAACCCGCGACCCTCAGATTGCAAGTCGAGTGCCTTAACCACCTGGCCATGCCGGGCCAAGGTTACATTAGAACTAATGGAAGTGAATGTACTTTCATGAAGGTTTGTTTTACCCATTCTTTATATTGTTGCCTATTTCAAAACTTTCCCCCTTCAGAAAGCATACTGCACAGTGACATATATATTTAATCAATCATCTCCAAAATGTCATCCAACCAAACACTCTTAAATGTTTGGTATTTACGTATAACAAACCACACTATGATATCTTACTTTTTTTTTTACATACGCTGAATGATTGATTCATTGCGCTTGGCTATCCCTAATTCCTTACAGAAAAGACAGCTAGTTAACAACACCCACCGCCACCTCCTGGACTACTCTTATCTGACCGAATAGTGTGATTCAACCGTCACACTTATAGCGCATCTACAGCCCCAAAAGAGCGCACTGAACTCTCGAAGTCACAGTCCGGGTACGCTAACCACTAAGCCACTCTCTGTTCTTCGCTGAAAGAAAACCGCGTAATTACTTTCATTTCATTCTCAAAGGAAAAACGTTACATGTGCTATTGTAAGTTGCTCAAACGCGTACTTTTGATATTTCAAGAGAGTCCTTTACTAATGTTTATTTACGTAATCTTTTTGACTCAATGTTTTTTCACCTTTAAACCATGTTATGTTTAAATATATGCATCTTAAAAATAAGTAAAGCTAGAAGGAAAACTTTGCGAAAAAATTTCACAAGTAATTAAATAAGCGAGTGAATACTTTAATATTATTTCTGTGCTACTGTTGTTGTTTGTAATTAAGCACAAAGCTACACAATGGGCTATCTGTGCTCTGCCCACCACGGGTATCGAAACCCGGATTCTAGCGTTGTAAGTCCACAGACATACCGCTGTGCTAATAGGGGGTTAAGGTTTAAGGTTATAGATGCTACCCAGATAAATGTGTGATAGAAAACACTCTTGAATGTTAAATCATAAACCATTAAGATTTATGCTATAAATGTTGTCTTCTGAGTGATTATAGCTTGTGCATTTTATTGTAAATATAATGTTAATAACATGTATATTTGGTCAAACTGCTTAGTAGACAGCGATGCATTTTAAACAACTATTACAAAAAACAAAATAAAAAACTCAAACATATCATCTTTGAAATACGCCTTTAATGTAAATAGATAATTTCTGCTCAAATTAATTTTTATTTATCGTAATTCCAGTAACGATTTGACTTGTTCACTAGTGAAGTATAAAATAAAAAGAACCTTATACTAATAAACATTATATATTCGCTTTTTTATCAAAAGTTTTCATTCCGTATACTAAAAATATTTTCATACAGAAATATTAAACTATAAATATCAGTCCTGTCGCCTCAAACACATTGGGTAAATGATACCTGCTCTCTGGCAAATGTCAGAAAATTACCCGCCTGAATGTATTATTTGAAAATTATTCAGGTACATTAACTAATGTACCAGAACATTTTTTTAAAAATCGCTAACATAACTAGTCAGTATTACATAATTATTGAATATTTGTATACGTATATTTAGGACATAATGAATTAAAAAAAATGCATTCAAAAATATAGTAAAAACCACCATTTCAATCCTCATTTTCCAAACATTTTCAGGGGAGGAGCATGCCTTAAAACTTGCATAGGCCAAGGCTTCGTGGTTAAGGTGTTAGTATATATGTATCTATAATTAGCTGTAAAAGGTGTTTTTGTCAGCACCCCTTGGCTTTTTTGTTTTGTTTATAAAACGTATTGTCCTGTTTAGAACAGAGCGATCAGAAAAGTACAGAATTTGTATCCTAGCTGGAGGTGGTATTTAGCCTAGCGATTGTACTTTGTTAGGCTTAAACTGTCAGAAACATATATAAATATGAATCATACCTACAGGTAGCATTTAGCCTAGCGATTGTACTTTGTTATTCTTAAAACTGTCAGAAATATATATAAATTTGTATCCTACACGCAGGTGGCACTTAGCCTAGCCTTAGCTACACAATGGGCTATCTGTGCTCTGCCCACCACGGGTATCGAAACCCGGATTCTAGCGTTGTAAGTCCACAGACATACCGCTGTGCCACTGGGGGGGCAGTTGTTAAAATATAGGTTAACAATGAAATTGGTCTATGAGGAAGGTCTGTTGAGGCATAGTGTATGTTAGACTAAGATAAAAGTCTCATATTTGTAGGCCTGATATATCTTCAAACGCTAAAAATCAGGTTTCGATACCCGCCATAGGCACAATACCAATAACCCATTGTGTAGCGTAACAACAAAGAAACTTCACAAAAATCAATGTTAGATATACACGACTATTTCCGTTTAAGTTTAATGCGAGTGTTATCAGATAGATAGTTTATATGGCGCGAGTGTTAAATTTAGTTATTTTTAGAAGCGATAGTTTATCGCAAGTTTGTTTACGAAACATATGTTGTGTATGTAGTTCAATGGTTATGAATTGGTGGTTGTTATATTATTGCACCTTCTGAGTTTTTACCGCTGTTTTAATTGATTATTATTACATCATAATATCTAGTAGTGTATGGAACAATCTAGATCTTTATCAGGGTATAAATACTTAGTTCAATAGTAAGATAGATCTAGACTGTGTGATTGTGAGTGTGGCAATAAAGAGCTGATGGTGAAATTACCATAGATTGTATTGTAATAACAGAGTAGAGAAGAATAATTTGTCTTGTCAGTTTGGTTCTAAAGTAATTGAACCAGACCGTGTGGACTTTGACGAAGAAGAGGAAATTATTTAAACCTCTGGATACAACTTTAATAATCAACAATGTAACGAACATTTGTATAAACGTTTGACTTGTTTTAATATATTATTTTAAAACAAGTGGACTGTGTACCATTTGTTTATTGTTGAAATTTATCGCCAACAAGTTACAGATACCTACTGTAAAGAATCTGGCCCATACATAAAACTTAACAACCAAAAAAAAAGAAAAATGGTTTGTTATATTTACTTGATATTCCACTTGATATAATATTTTTTCGTTATTTTTTATGTTTATTATGTATAATTTCTTGAAAAAATCTAAAGATAGCATAATGGAGATGATTCAGTTGCAACCATATTTATAAATCTTACTCGTAATTGCAAAACCATTTTGGAATAGGTCTTATGCGGAGATAAAGTGATCTAACATCAGATTAAAGTTAATATTTCACGTGATAATTTAAAATAAATTTTCTCAAAAGAAAATCTTTACCGTGCAAATTGTGAGAGGAAAGTAAAATCAATAAGCTGATTATTAAAATAATCCAATTGTAAATTCCCCCAGTGGCTCAGTTGTAAGTTTCAAGGCTTATAAAACTAAAAACCGGGTTTCGATACCCGTGGTGGCCATAGCATAGATAACCTGTTATGTAGCTTTGCACTTAACAACAACAAACAAACTGATTGTAAATATTCATTGTAGTCCAGTCATATGATTGAAAAGTTATCATTTTCCTATGTATGTAGATAACCATAAAATATCCGCTTAGTGTACTGAAGTAATTCAAATTCAATATCGTAATATTCCAATATTAACTTGAAAATTATATTTTGATTATCGTAAAAAATTAAGATGGATTGTTTTCTTTGAAGAAAAGAATTAGGATAATATATTTGTTCGTTTTATTTATTTTGTTTTCTATTCAGCAAAGCCACGAAGGCTTGAGGCAGTCTCACACCCGGAGACCGGTTAGTAAATTTATATAACTCCGTTATTTAAAATGCCAAATGTCGTTCTAAGTAAATACACTGAAGGGGTTTTGTTTTATTAGCTGGTTAATATTAGACTTTAATAACATCTAGTCAGCTTTCCATAACATTCGCTATATTTTCATTAAAGTGTACCAATAAACCAGTAATCTACTTGTAGTATTAATCCATAAGTGTATGAATCAGCAAGATTATTAATGTCTTTTGTAGAGTAATCATCTTTCATTATTCACACAAAAAGCACAAAATTGCAAAGGTTACTAGAAAGAATAAAATTCTTTTTGACAGTTATCAGTGAATGAAATTGGCCGTAAATCATAAAATGTTATAAAAGGGCTGGTAAAAAAACTAGTTTTGTCAAAAACAAGAAAATGTATTCAATAAAATTACAGCTGAAAGAAAAGACATAATTATGAAAGTTTATTGTTAAAATACTGCTTTATCTTTATTAAAGTTTTAGAAGACAATACTCACTGTATCTAATTTTCTTTTTTTATTCAGAGAAGTCCAGGCACAAGATCGCTTGATTACCACAGAAGTCCCAGGTAAGGCTTAGAGTTAGAGATACCAATGAAAATCAGACAATTGAGTGAATAAGCCTAATAACGGAAATGTATAGGTCTAATGTAATGTTGCGTCAGCGAGGTCACGTGACTAGTGTCACGCCCCCTGCTTTCTGGAAATATCTTGTACCTTCGGGAATAGTCGGGAGATTACTAGATATAGGATAGTCTGGTATATATATAAGAGGGTGACAACGTGAC